TCCTATGACCTTATGAACCCCACATTGACTTCACAACAGTTGGTTGGACATTTTTTTGAACAAACATTTATTATTCAGCTTGTTTTATTCTTTTTTAAAATGATCAGAGTGCTGGACCTGGTGTTTATTGGCTGCTTTTGTAGCTTTTGAGGAGCAGACAAGGCCTTTGTGGTGAAGCTGTGGTTCATCAGCAGTAACATGCATCAAGCCAAAGCCTCAGAGGTGTTTGGATCAAAAGACAGAGAAGGGTTAGAAGGTGGTACGAGATGACTGTACACGGGGCATTTAAAGGGTCTGGGTGTTAACTAGAAATGACATTACTTTACTCCTGATGTGTTACCTTTATTTAATCAAACATTGTTACCTTCTATACTGCATAGCAATTAATGTGGATAGAAGTGATAACATATTTAAAGAAAACTGGCTGCTGGCCTTCAGTGCATCACATCTGCCACATTTATCTTAGAGGCAACCTAATGCAAATCTGACCCCTGATAGAGCTGTTAACTGCCCCCATTTGCTATTCATTCCAAAGGCTTTGGAAACCTTTAATAGGCAAAAAGAAAATTTTTCTTTGGGGAAAATCAATAGACCCTTCGCACTGACCTATTTCGGCAGCGTGGACCCACTATTACTTGGAAGCATATAAATATTTAAACAAACATTTACTTGCATCCAAAAACAAATACGAATGCACGTTTATTAAAGACCCCGCTGCTGCATCTGTGCACAGCTTCAACAGAATATACAACACTTCAACTCACTGTAAACTATCTCAGATTGTGAATAGACCAACAAATAACAGACAGCATGAAGAGATGCGTCCCTGTTTCTCTGAGAGACAGTTTGTTTAGATGAGTTGCTCAAGAAAGGAATATATGTGCATTTCAACATTGTTTTTCAGATTTACAGGAACGGTCAGGAATTCTGGCAACAAATATTTCAACACAAAAGCAAAACTATTCAGCACTTCTCCAGAACTCCTGCCTGCAAATAAATACTGCAAATTCAACAGTCAACTATAATAACAAGATTAAACCCAGGAATCTGTATTTGAAAATCCAGACCCTCTCCTAGGGCATCATACGAAATGTAAATGGAATATAAATTATCATTGAACAAACACTGGAATATACCTCAACAGTGTTGAAGCAAGCGTTTTTTGTGTGGGTTTTTGTTTTGTTTTGTTTTTGTGGTCTGTGGTGATGAAACCCTTTGCCTGTTGTACAACTATGCCATTTAATTGCATAGAAGTCTGTCTTCACAGCCTCAGCTGCAAGGCTAAAATGATAACAGTTACTGCTTTTCTGCTTTGGACCATGTTGGATGCTGTGGTTTTTATTACTTCAGTAGAACTGACTACTGGGACCAATCCGGTGGGCAGCCACACTGGTGGGCTGTACACCATCAAAAAGTACATGAAGTTTTTAAAGGATTTTAGCAGCCTTATGGGTCTCTTTACTATTCTTACCAGAGAGGGTACAGGGTAGACTTAGTGGATAATTCAGGGGCCAAATTCCTTATCCTTACATTCTCCAGTGTTGGAAAACCTTGTTGACGTTAACATAGGATTGGCTTCTTGTTCTTGTCTGTGATCCTTAGAATTTTCTCTTCTTTGAAGGTCTCTCCTTGACGTTGTACTTGTCCAGTCTAATCTCAACACTCCTAGCCAGTGTCATTGAGACCTATTGTCCAGGACCATCAGGGAGGCCGTGTGGTGCCCTTTGGTCTTTATTTTTTCTGTTTACACTAATCGTTTGCACCTTCTTTATGCACAGCCTCTTGCTCCTCCTGCTCCTTTGTCTTCTACTTCACCTTTACACTGTTTTTGTCCATTGTACAAATGGAAATACCGCTGTCAGATTGTTGCTGACTGGCTAGAAAAGTTCTGTGAGGTCTTTGTTTGTCTCACAGACTGTGGTTGTGTAACAACACATTTTTGTAGCGTAGAAATATAAGAGATTATAAGTTGATATACTTACAAGATCTGACAAAGCATTTTTGATTGTAATCAATAGTGGAAAGTTTTACCAGGGCTGTTTTGATGTTAATGGCTGTGAGTCATTCATCTAAGTGTTTCTAATGTCAATATATTGATATTTTTAGGGCATTAACTTTTAGGACACTTTAAAAACGTATTTGCATCATTTTATACTGATTCTATGATAGAGATGTTAAAGAAGGTAGATAACCTCCTTTAGGAACTTTTGTTCCATTAAGTCGTACACTCCAGTTAAACCAAAAAACAGGAAGGCAACAAAGTAGTTTTGGAGAAATACACAGGAGGAAGAACCTAATAATGGGTAGAGACTGAGACTGAGGCCAATGTGGTATTAGCCTTCTGGCCTAATAGAGGGTGAGAATGAGGACACAGCTGAGATGGCACGGGTCTAGGGGAATAACCCCACTTTAACGGGACTCTTAGGACTTGTTAGTCCTGAGTAGGTTTAGAGTTTTGGGCTCCTTTGACATATTTCTCTTTCATTTGAATTTAAAGCTTTTGTTTTGTCTCTGTCTTTCCCATTTTCTTGACCTGCTTTCCTTTTTTTTCTTTTCCTTTTTTGCCCTGCTCCCTGTAATAATGGCAGGCGCCGTGTCACTATAACAAGATACGGCAGTTTCATTTCAAATTATGACCCCAGGATTAACAAACAGCTTCCACGGAATGGAACTTCAACCAAACTAAGATCTGAATGCAGACAGGTCTTAAAATGTTACTGCCAGTGCTGCACTAGGTCAACCTTTCTGATTGAGCTGCCAGACCTTCTTGGGAATGATAGTCACCCAGAGACCTACTCCTAATACCACTGCTGAAACCTGTGTAGGAAATAACAAAGTCAGGAAAAGGAGTGAACATCTGTATGGGTCCACTTCAATAATAACTGATGATTTATTTATTTTTATTGGTTATTAACTATACGTCTCCTCTGTTTGTCAGAAAACACGTGCATGTTGGGCAATGTTTTAAATCTTATTTAGAATTTTAACATTTTATCGTGTTATAGAATTGCATGGTTATCACCTAAATAGTGTCTTGTAACCTGACTGAGTTCATAATAATCTGGTCACCACTCACACTCATAGTGGTTATACAGTCACATCCAAAACGTGATGTGTCCATAATTTTTTCCATTTGACTAGTATTTTTACCACACTCTTCCTGGGAATTCTCAAAGCTTCAGAAGTGGTTTCATACCCTGTGTCTCACCGCATTTTTATAGCAAATAGTCCTCAGAGATTTGCTTGGAAGGCTTTTTTTCCCAAAATGCAGGTGCTTTAGAAGTGTGTGGCCCAGTCTGCAAAGACCTTCGATGCTTTACTCTAACAAAGATACTGTCAGACTCTGTTGTGGTAACTGGTTGTCCTTTGGTAGGAAATTTGCACGTTCCCTCTGCATGTGCACAGACATTCCTTGGATGCTCTTGTTTTCTCCCAACGTCCAAAATATGCAGATTGGGGATTTGTTAAATTAAGTAAGGACCCAGCTGACCATATGTATAAATGTGGGTGTGAAGTTTTGTTTCCTTCTTTGGTAGTGTGATGGACTGGTGAACGACTGCTCCTCACCTTGAAGTGGAATAGAAGAAGATTCATAAATTAATTAATTCATTAATGTTGGAAAAAAAGAATGTAGGAAGCATCTTCCAAAACAGCCAGAATAAAGAATTTCCATTTTGTTAAATCCCAATTTATTTATATTTCAGTTTACATCTGCATATTTTATTGTACTGTGCATATGATACATTTTACTGCTGAAATATCTATAATTATCTATAAATAATAGTCTGTGAAACAATACACACTAGAGGGAAAAATATTTGTTATTGAATGTACAGAATTTACAGAGATGCACTGATATGTATTCATCCTGACCATTACTGTATATTTTATAGTCCCCTAGTGCCCCAGGCACCTGGATACAGAGTGTGAGAAAATACTGTAGGAGAGTTCAGACATGACATGATGATCTCGGCCTTCAGTCTGTTTCTGTTGCACTTGCACACATTCTAATCCCAAATGCACATGCACCTGCGAGAGTTAGTCACCTATCCATATAAACACCCAGATGCTTTTACCCACAGGTTTTAGGCAGGTTGCCATGATGACCACAAAACTTCTTTCTAGTCAATTTCCTGGCAAGAAATTTGTGTTACCATGCCAACGTCTGCAGCGTTTGGAGTGATGTTTGTGGACGTGGAATCTGAGAAGGCATGGTGATGCGGTGACATCACTGCTGTTTCATGACAACTGGGGGATACGGCTGCACATTTAAATAATGGAATATGTTTTAATGTGTCTTCAGAGAGAATTCACATCCCGCACCTCTGATGCCTGATGTCTTTAACATCCACAACCCTCAGGTTAACTAGACAGAATGTGTGTGTTCTGTGTCTGTGCCTCTTTGTCTGTTGTATGTCTTGACCAGCAGTTTCATGCTGTGGTTATTGCTTTGGGATGTGTGTGTGGCTGTTGCTACGTCTGTCAGCTTTGACAATCAGCTCTCGTCTGGACCACATCAGGAATATGAAGACAAGTCACGTCTAGGAATCTGTGTTTATGTGAGACAAAGTTCTTATGGTTCCCTCTCCCACTGTTAGAGACAAAAAACCTGCCAGCATGACTTCACCTTAAGTGTCAATTATACATCATATAACATGATACCTTATTTAAAAAAAAGCTGAAGAAAAGCTAGAAAGGGAAAGTTTCGAAGGATGTCAAACTGAACAGGAATTTCTGACTGAGCCCCAGTACCTCCTTGTGCATGTAGACTTTGTATTGAAAGGTCATTAACTTTTTTAACCTGATAGATCTTCTAATCCTGACGAATCTGAGCAGGTATTTTCCCTGTGCTGAGAGCATTATGGTATCTCTTAAGCCTTTTACAACATCCCTGGCAACAAAATCAAATCTAGATTTTCTAGATTAATTTTCTTTGGATTTCATTTTTACTATCCACAAAGTTTTTTTTTCTTGTCTCATCTACCTGTCTTCTCTTTTAGAATCACGTCCCCTGTCTATCGCCATGAAAGTGATGCCTGACACCACAGCTCCAGCTTCGTGGACTTCTTCAGAGGAAAGAATGAAGGAGCTCATTGCTCTTGCCTGGGATGCTGTTAAACGCCTGACCGTACAGGTAAACTATTTTTTGCAGAACTATTTTATCTGAGTGTATCCAATCCCAACCTGTGGTGTCTGACACCCTGCAACCAGTCATAAGCAGGTATTTGTAATGGATAAAACTACAACCACGACCTTATTCAGAAGCTGAGATATACATTTGAGAGCAGAGTTGCATTTAACCAGTTCCACATCAACTCTAAAGCCCATTTACCCCAGTTCACCGCTCCTCACTTTCAGTAAGTAGTGAGATTTAGTTCAACCCACCCAAGCTGATTTCTCTCCATGGTTGTGGGTTTGTGGCTCAGTGAGCTGTTTGGCCTGTTTTACATACAGTACAGATACATACGTAGTGTCTCACATCCCTTTGTGGTTGGCTGACACTCTGGGTGACTGTCTGGCTGGCTGGATGTCCCCTTCCATTGGTCTCAGTGTCTCATTGAATACTTAAGTGGTCCCATTGTAAGTCCATAAACAGATTCCACATCACAACCAGAACCATCAGTAATACATCAGGAAGCAATGATAACTCTCTGACAGTACACTTCTAGATGCAGAAACAGGACCACATGCACTGTGCACATGTGTACCTTTGTAAGGTCCATTAAATTTCTGTAGTGTCTTGGTTGACTACTAGTCAAAGTTGTCTAAGTATTCACACGGACGGTAAAATCCTTTCAGATGACAGATATGTTTCATTTATGAACATTTTTACATCAGTAACATTTCTTAAGCTACATCTAGGCTTGTCAGTAACAGAAGTTCACTAAGGACTGAGAATAATTTGTCACTTTTTAATCTTTTTTCCATCCTCAGATCTTCATTCATTCACATACATTACTTCACTCTAAACTTCTCTCTGAGGTTATGATAAGTTAAAAACAATGTTTGCTTAAATCCTACTTGAGAAGGGTTGTTATCTGTATCTTTGAGCTCCAGCTCATTAAACAGAAACTCAAACTAGTTATTTTCCACTACTCATTCTTTCTGCTCCTCAGTCCGTAGTGATTTCTATTATGTATATATGTATATGTATATATGTATGTCACTGCTGTGGCAAACACCCTTTTTGCTTGTTATTAGTTAAATACAATTTTTGTTTTCAGTGCTTCTGTATAACAGTACCACCCATTCCTCTGTTGTAGGTTGAGAATGCTAAACTGTGAGTACTGTACAACAGCTAGCATTTTAATGTAGAGCTCATATGGCTGAAAGTCAGACTAAAAACTAATGGCTTATAAGTTACGTAGTTTTTTTGTGCATCCAAACAACGATGTAGCCTTTTAATAATTATTGCCAGGACCACACAAAGTGATGTCAGTCAAACATCAAAGACAGCTCGACACACTTGAATAAAAGTAATTCCACTAGGGCCTGGATCCATGTCAGGCCACTGAGCTGTTTACAGTACTTCTTCAAAAATTCATTCAACCCTCTAATAGTTTGCTGAGGCCGTCATTGACTCCACTTTTGTCTGTCCCCTTCGGCTGTGGGACCACACCACGTTACTGTAGCAGTAATTAGGAAACAGTCTGTCCTGTTGACATGGGAGCAGGAGAGGACCAAACAGAACAACCTGACAGCTGGTACCCCAGGCCTTGGATATCCCTTAACTCAAACCACTCCATTTATTTTCAGTGTGGTGTAAACAGAAAACTTAATGGCTCACACTTCTGCTGCACATGTGCCCAGTTTGGCAGAAAAGGGCTTTCTTTTAAAGGGGGTTAAAACAAAAAGAAAAATCTGCAATGGCACAGGAACATTAACAAAAACTGTCAGAAAACTGTAGGACTGATCTATTTATCAAACTGCAGTTGCTTGTACATTTTGTGAAGGTAAATTGTTTGGAAAAATCCAATACTGAATGACTAAAATCCAATAATCATGCTTTAACACTCGCATAAATTTTCTTCTTTATAAACTCAATTTGTAAGGCCGCTAGGATGACGATTTATTTTCACACTAGGTGGTTTACAGTGGCAGATTCTGCCATCTGACATGTAAGCCTCCAGTCTCCACAGTTTACCATCATCATAATACTTGTGAATTCAGCTTTTATCTATTTACATATAGGGTTAAAGTGTGTAAAATATCTGATAAACTGTCTTGCATCATCTTTGTCCTTACTTTTGGAAACAGAACAACCTCAAAAATCTGTATAAGCAATTCTGTCCCACCAAACTGTGCCACTTTATAATTAAATACAGCTTATGTAATGTCCTAGACACATGTCCCACACTCACACACAGTCTAAAACCAGAATAGCAAGTGGAAAAAGCCTGACATGCACTGCTTCTATTTGTAGAATTCCGTTCTAAAAACATCCGTCTCATTAAATTGTGGACAGTGAACAGTGGTGAAGAATGTTGTACGTATTGATGCACTTTACAAGGCACAAAGTAAATCAGTACGTTTAATTAACAACTGATTTGTTTGAGGTAAAAAAAAAACTACTGGCCTACAGTCGTTTTTATATTTAACACTCAGTTCTGTACATATTTGTGGGGCCCTCGCCTTATATTTTACCCAGCATAGTAATGAAGAAAATGGAATCCCTTATTTGATAAAGGTTCTGCTTGTGCTACTGTTTTTGTTTTAAAGGCCAAACTGTCTCCACACCGTCCACACCAGCATTTCAATTCTGTAATTACTTTTATCTCAGCGGCACCGGTATACCATAAATACAAGTAGGATACTGTTGTATAGAAATACATGTCAGAAAGTTTTGCCGGATATTTGTAGTGAGACAATTTTTTGCTTTGCTCGCCTGCTGATGGATGATATTTATTTATTTAGTTACCTGGCTAAACTTAGTAAAGGTAATATTGAACACCGAGGAAGGAATGAAGTGTTCTGTTAGGCCACTGGACGTGAATATATATTTTCTTCACTGTGGAACGTTTAGAGAGCCGTAATTTTTTTTCTCCGACTATCATATAGTCTCCTTTCAAAAGTTGCTCTATGTAGGTTGATTATTAATTCTCCTATTGTTAATGGCTTAGGATAAAAGTGTCTGCTACATGCATAAATGTAAAATATACAGTATGTCTTTAATCACTGGCTGCTGATTGAAATGATGCTGCCCTGGCCACTATACTGTAGCTGAGCTACACTTTTCTGCGGAGCTGCGTACGGCCAAGTTTGTGATACAACTTTATTTATTTGACCTATTTTGGAACGCAAACCACAAAGTTGAATTATTACAGCCAAATATGTGTTTCAGGCCAAAACAAAATGTCCTATTCACAGATTTATTATTTTTAATAGACCGATATTTCCAGGCTCAGCTAAGCTAAGAGGGTGAGACGGATGGAGAAAGTGAGCGATGGAGAGTGCAAGAAAGAGCAACTGACATAAAGACATAATATCTTTCTCACACTGTTGCAACAGGCATGGTGAGGTCAGAGCGACATGCCATCCAAATTGAAGCCCAAAGGCCCAAGGTGGTCAAGACTCCATGACATTACATACAGCAAACCAAGGGTGTGTGTTTCCCTGAAGAGACAGCTGAGTTTTGTGGTCATACAAGCTAAGCAGCGTAGGTGGTGTTTTTTTAATAGTCACCTCAAATTAAAGCTGACGGGCAGCGGTGCAATTATCACGCTGGCACATCTTTTCATGGCCATTTGCCCTCATAGGTTCTGACCCTCAGCCCTCTCTATTTTCTAAGCTTAAGCCTATTGATGTGGTGTTAATTTTATATTAAGTTTCTCCTGTACTTGTCACTTTGAAAGGTATTCTCATTCTTATGTTCTTAATTCTTCTGCTCATTTCCTGCCTGGCCTCTTTTTCCCACGACTCACCTGTCATCTCCCCTTTCACTGCCCGCTTTAACCAAGGACACTTATGTTCTCTCTGGTCCCCGATAATAATTGCAAGTGATGAGGTGGGTGATTCTATTTCAGGAATTTTGCAATAATTCCTTCTATTTAACACATGAATGTGTTCAGCTTTGGCAAAAAAAAGTACGTTGCTACCAAAACTGAAATGGGATCCGCTGAAACAGAGAGACTGTTGCCATGGAAAAATGAAGTAACACTGCTCCCTGCAGCTGCCATGCATTAATGAGTCGGACATTTTTTGAGAGAAAAAAGAGGAGAAAAAGCAGTGGGGTAGAAAAAGGTAAACTGATGGAAATGAATGGAAGGCTACAAAATGAGGAAGAAAAATGTGTGTGTGTGTGTTTGAAAGCACAGGAAAGTGAGAGAGAGAGAGAGAGACATGAAGATAGTCATTTGCACTGTGTGTTTGGTGTGACTAAGGACGAGCGGCCAGATGTTTTCCATAAGCAGGATCTGACCCTTCCTCTGGAGCACCTTCTGCAGGAGCATTAGTCCATCTTTTGCTACCCCCCCCCCCCCCCCCCCCCTTCATTCTACTTTGCCTCCATTCAACATTTCATCCCCTGTGTCTGTCCAGTCTTGTGATTTCCACATGATTTGTGACAAGTGTTACTTTTCTTCTCTGTTTAGAGTCAAATTTTGAAGAGTATTTCATTAATGACATTTTAAATTTTTGATACATAATTGTTATGAGGTAGGTCGAAACTGTAGTATTTATCAAAACATTTGTTTCAGTGAAGTACACTCATCAAAACTTATCAGAACAGCTTTTTTTCTACAGTATGTCTTGTATAAACTCGGTCATATATATATATATGTATATATGTATGTATATATATGTATGTATACTGTATATGAATGAGTTTACACATATTAAAACTGGTGGAATGATGAATGACATAATATAATGCTTATATTCAGAACACAGTTGTACAGAATGGTAGTAACACTGAACCAGAATTAGAAAGAAAACCGTACATTTGCTCTCATTGAGGCATTCATACATGGTGTACCATACATTAACGTGGTATACTAACATGTGGCATATGGTCTAATCCACATCCACTGTCTGCAGCTTTGTCGGTAAACTCATGATCTCACAGAGATAATAGAATACACTCATATTTGACCCCTCTCATCCCACAGCACTGCAGAAAAGTGTTCACCACAATGA